GTTTATTTTTTCAGCGTTTTTTTTTTTTTAGTAGTCAACCTTAAAAAATGTCAAGCCACATTTGACAATGATGAATCTTCTCTGGGAGCAACCCTCGAAAATAGCAGGAGGAAAACTCAGCTGATAAACTGATTATGCACATCAATTGAGCAGCACTCTTCATTTGGCGTGCGCTGCTTACGGCAATTGTTTTGTGAAAATTAAATTCTCTTTTGTGTCTCATATTGCATTGTAAGTAAGCCCTCTACCAACAGCAAAGTTGGTGGCTTTCTAATTACAAATAGGTAAAAAGGCAAATGCTTTGCGGCTTTGTGCACCTGCTGCCAAAGGAACATTGAAATTATGAAAGGTGAATAGGGATGGAGCCCCAAATTGGCAAAGGTATTTGTTAAAATTATTATTGGACTTAATTATGCCAAGTCGGCTTGCGAGGGGGATGTATCTGTAGAAACAAAGAATGTATATGAACAGACGCCAAACTAGAGCGGGTAGAAACGGAAGGAAAGCAAAATTCCCAGAAATTAAAAGAAAAGCAGGCAAATAACTTAAAGTGTGAAATATATTTATGCTTTAAGGTCTTAAACAATTTTTATTAATTATAGTACCAAAATATAATACCAACTGGATTCTTATTTATTAACAAACATTTAGTACACTGCCTAGAAAGGCTTTAAATTTTTCATCATGGAAAATGAAGAGCCACAGTATTTTGTATAGACACATAGATAGATAGTACTTACATAAGCCAACAATGCCATGTATGAAGCGTTGAGCCATAAGGGTCGCCCGGTTGTTACCTATTCAGACATTTTAGTCCTAAAGCACAGCATTTTCCATATATTTATATATGTATCTCATTTCGCTATTAACAGCTATTTGACTATTATAGCTTGACTGATAATATATTTGCAAATACCCGTCCAATATTTGCTGATGACCAATGCCAAGAGTAAATATCAGCAAATAACTGCAGTCCATTAGTGCTTTAGAAGCTAGTATGTGTATTAACCTAAGAGACTTGCGGTTGTTGTACGCTGACCATAAACATCCAGAGGTGGCACGTAATACAATGCTACCAGTATCATATTTCTAATTTATTTGATTAACCTATTTTCTCGCACAAAGCGAGAATTCCATAACAAATATTTAATCTCAAAGTAAATACCCAAAGACTCGGTGGATGTTTAACTTGCGCACTGCTCTTGCTGATATTAATCAAACAACAATAACAGACATGCTTGTAGATGTTGGCACGGATTGGAGCAACTACATGACATACGTATGTATGTATGTATGTATATACATATCCGCATACATGCGTGCAGACGTAACATCGCACACTCGAAATCAGGGCTCTTTACAGATTAACTATGCGCCTCCTTGCACACTCAGCACGCCTCTCGCATTGTGATACGCCCCTTGTCAACGCTAAGCAGCGTGTGAGGATTACTCTTAAGTTCGAGCAAAGCATTCTTTTGCAGCCCCTGATAGACAATGCTCGCATGTCCTGTGTATAATTGGTTGTGACACATGCGAATCATGCTCACACACACACACACCCTCACACACTCATGCACACACACTTAGTTTGCCGGTATTATTGTGACGGATGTAATTTGGAACCGGCTATGTGTGAGCCTACAAATATCTTAACGTGTTTGTTTCGGGTATTTAATGCTTCAATTAATTTTTGATTTAAGTGCTGCCCCGTTGTCTCAAATGTCAGCTGCTGCAATGACGCCCATTTTTAAAGCCCAGCAGGTTGCCTTATTAGGATTCCTTAAGGCAGCTTGAAGATCATTCAGCTCTGATAATAGTAAGAATTGTAAACAAAGCGATTAGACAGTGGCTTGTGAAGTAGAATATCATAACAATAGGAATAACAAAAAATAAACTCGGGCTGCTGCAGATTCAATAATCCTTCAAACAGTCGCAACAGCTTTGTGATATATATCTATAATCCACACAGCGATGGTTGCCCCCAAAACCTCAATTACAAGGCGTATGTTTTTGTCAATACCGATTTTGTGTGTACAAAGTAAGTTATCGATTATTTCAAAAATCTACGCATGATCTACGCATGTCATGCGAGGACCTTCGTTTAGTCTCTACCTCTTTAAGTCTCTGAGATGGAAATGTCGCACTTATGGATCGCAGCTAGATCGACTCGGTTGTTGATGATTGTTGCTAACCATTAATATATATATATATATACATATAGTCAATGGGTTCAGAGTATAAATTGGATTTCGGTTTTTAGCCATGAGCTATTTATCAAGCAGTAGTTAAGTTTACCCAACTTAAACTACGTAGCTTTTTTATACGAATTAATATTTATTTACATGTTCAAGTACGTGGAAAGAATTCATATGTGTATATACCTATATGTTAATATTTGCAAAGGTTAGTCAAATAAGAAAATTTTGCTATTCTCGGCACACCGAAGATTAAATACCTTTTGATATATGGCTCACTATATGCTAATTTTTCGATAAATGAAAATAAATAATCGAATGATGAAGATATCTTGATATATAGAAGAAGATAGTTGTCGACTGATTTATTCATTTATTATAAAATACAGTCGTCTAATCCGGCTGGAACAGCAACAGTAAATAATGAAGGCGTTAATACGTATCAAGAATATATGTATGCACTTATTCCGGTCGAAAAAGTCTCCTTCCTTGCGTTGCACATTTTATGACAAAGTTACAATACGCTCTATAAGAGTATCAAAGTGACGAATGTAAACAAGAACGTTGCGTTGGCTATAACCGACTGCATAACACCCTGTTCACAGTGTAAAACCAGCTTAAGTCACTCGACAAGTGCCTTTTTGAGTATTGTCTTGGTAACCGTATGAGTGAGGGTGTCAGTAGCCGTTCTTTAGATCTTACGTTAAGTCTATAAGTAGTCTACCTGCTCAACTTCGTCACTGTACCTGTACTGTTGTGATAGATATCGATTTGCAAGGCTTACCCACGAGCTTTGACTCTGACGCTTTAAATAAAACTTTACAACGAGAGTCCGACCGTATGACGGACTTTTGGCCAAAGCCAATATACTTTTGTTCTCTTTGCGAACCGAGTAAATAAAAAAAAAAAAATCCCAGAAAATGTTGTTCCATTGCCAGACAAACACCATGAAATCGCTTCGCAATACAAAAATCCTGATAAGGGCATCGTCATTATAACAAGCGCGCTGAGATAAGCTTTTCATTCTCGAATGAGAATCAAGTCGAGTATCGAGACAGTTTTAATTATACATTCAGAAAGTTCACACGTACTTTTCATACTATTCTCAAATGAAACTTTTGCTCATCTGCCTGTTGGGCGTGCTCAGCGTAACATGCGGTGCTAACGGCGCGACTCGCAATTCACATCTTATTTGCTACTATGACTCGGCCTCATATCTGCGACCGGGCTTTGCTAAGTTGGATGCGCACCATTTGGAATTAGCCCTTCAATTCTGCACACATCTGGTATACGGCTATGTGGGGCTCAAGCCAGGCACTCATGAGCTGTATAGCTTAAATGTGGACCTGGATATGTTTCACTTCAAGGACATAACTCAGCTGCGTGACAGATTTCCGCATCTCAAGGTGCTCTTGAGTATTGGTGGCGATCGAGATGTGGACGAGTCGCATCCCAACAAATACCTGGAGCTGCTGGAAGCGAACCGCACTGATCAACAAAACTTTATTGATAGCAGCATGGTGATGCTACGTAGAAATGGCTTTGACGGATTGGACTTGGCGTTCCAGTTCCCTAAAAATAAGCCGAGGAAAGTGCATGGAACCATCGGCACTTACTGGAAACAGTTCAAGAAATTGTTTACTGGCGACTTTATTGTTGATCCTTCGTCGGCACAGCACAAGGAACAGTTTACTGAGCTTGCCAGAAATTTAAGAAACGCCTTTCAGAGCGCCAATCTTTTATTAACATTAACCGTGCTACCCAATGTGAACTCCACTTGTATGTTCTGGCTGAATTTTCGTAAATTATATATTAATAACAACAATGTATCTGCATTGTAGGGTATTTTGACGTTCCCAAGCTGCATCCATTAATGGACTTTATTAACCTGGCAGCATTCGATTTTCTCACACCCGTTCGTAATCCCGAAGAGGCAGACTACACTGCTCCAATCTTTCATTTTGATGCGCAACAGCGTTTGCCCCACTATAATGTTGAGTTTCAGCTGAACTACTGGCTGCAGAATCATTGTCCACCGCAGAAGCTGAATTTGGGCATTGCCACCTATGGACGAGCCTGGAAGCTATCCAAAGACTCGGGGCTAAGCGGCTTGCCAGTCGTACCAAGCACCCTTGGACCCGGCCAAGGCGGACTTCAAATTGGCAGCAGCGAAGGCCTGCTTAGCTGGCCAGAAATCTGTGCAAAGCTACCTCTGAATCAAACGGCAGTCTATCGTGGTGCAAATGCACCCTTACGCAAGGTCACGGACCTCACGCAGAAATACGGAAACTATGCCTTACGGCCAGCCGATGAAGAAGGCGAGCACGGTCTGTGGGTAAGCTACGATGATCCCGACTTTGCGGGCATCAAGGCTGCCTATGCCAAAAGCAAGGACCTTGGCGGAGTGGCACTCTTCGATCTAGGCTACGACGACTTTCGAGGTCTCTGCACAGGCCAAAAGTTTCCCATTGTGCGCTCAGTAAAATACTTTCTGGGTTAAATTGTAGAGTTTTTCATAAGCAAATTACTTGTAATGCTAATCAGCGAACTTGTCTCAATGTTTTACTTCTGACCTCGTATATTTGAACCGCAGTCTGAGACGACTCAATAACTTTGCTTACGCAATTGAACTATTCTAAGAGCATATGTAAAATAAAAACTTGATTTGACTGGCTCTCTCTTTATCTGGTAATAACAAAATGTGCTGTGTTCCTCTCCATGAAAGCTTTTGCAATCGTCATCGTCGGTCGGCGGCTTCATTTGTCGTTTGTCGTTTGCCGTTTGCGTTTTCGGTTTCCATTTCAGCTTCAGTTCGATTTCATTTAATCGTCGATGCGGTCGTGAGTCTTGTCTACTAAGTATTTTTACAATACTGCAGCATGAAGCAGTTCTTTTTGCTTTCGTTTTTCACGAGCTTCCTTGTGACTGTCACACACGGAGCATCTAACTTAGTGTGCTATTATGATTCATCGAGCTACACACGTGAAGGTAAGGGGGCATTTTCGGGTGTTACTTGAAAACCTTTTTCATCCAAGCACCGAAAACTTATTTAGTATGTTAATTAAAATTGGAATTCCCTGGCAGAGGATATTATCATTTAGTAAATAAGAATTGGAATTCCCTTCAGAGGAAAGTTGTCGCAATCAATTATCAGTATTCACATGTCAGGCTCAATTTATCATACTCGTATCAGGTGTATTTCAATTTTTTGATAACTCTACCTTTTAGTTAAATTGTAATTGTAGTTGTACATATAAACATATTTCAGTGCAAGCCTACAAGGTCAGTGTAAAAATTGGTACAGGGTATTTACCAGTCGATGACTTCGTTGGTAGCCTTAGCAACAGTTTATTTTCAACTGTTCCACAATTTCATTAGAAATCTATTTTTAATCGAAAATATGTATATTTTTGTTAAAAATATTTCTGTGTGCCATATGCAGATTAAGCTTGGATTTTGTCAAACCTCCCTTTGGATAAATTATCAAGTACATATATCAAATTTTATTTGTTGTTTATAAATTTGAAAACATGGAGCGGATCGTGTGTGTATTAACATCAAAACCTGTCTCCTCGTCGAGCACACTCCACGCTTTGCTAAAGATCAATTTAAATTCAGACGCAAATCACAAGATTACACATGTTAAAAGCTTTTAATTAGCATATTTCGTACTGCCCCATTGACAAATCCGTTTATATTACGTATTAAACTATAAAACACAATTTAACTTCTTAATATTAAGTTCATTTTAAAGCCAGCGCGTAAACATATCGCGAGAGGCTGTCGCATAGTTGTGACTGGAGGTCAGTGGCTTATCAGTTGAGCTGAGGTTCGAGAGAGTATCTCTTACTCTAAACGAGCCGAGCTCACAAATACGCTCTCTCTCTCTCTCTCTCTGTCGATCTATCTCTCTCAATATTGTTATTTAAAGTATGATGATCTATGAAAACTGGCAATTTCAAAGGCAAACACAATTAAATACAAGGTCAGCTCGCCAACTTACTGACAATAATAAAACAGCAACAGCAATAAAGTAGCACAAAAAATTGTTATCCAAACGTGACAGTTTTTCAAAAACAAGAGCTTGAGCTCCGCTCACACAATTCACGCGCTTGAAATCGAAATCTGAGTGTACAACTCGCTGCGAGTCCAGCGCGACAACTGCCCCAGCAACATTTCTCCGATGGAGACCCAACAAGTGACTAACATTATGACGACGTAATGTACAGTGGAACCAAATGTAATTTGTTTAAAGATCGCACCCTATTGATAAAATGGAAAAAGTGCGAGCGTCAAATTACAATTAAGAAACATATAGCTTTTCTATTTAATTACATAAATAAATCAATTAAATAAATTAATCAATTTATACACGTAACTATAAACATTAAATCAGTCTAGAACTGATAATCAACGTGTTAAAATATAACACTCTATTTTTGGGATCATTTTTAATCACTCTTAGGCAACTGTATACATTCAAGTGAATAATGAATACTGCGAAGTATAAATTCAACAAGACTGTTGTTGCTCTTAATTGAGCCCCTGCGGTACAATGATCCCAATGTGTGGTGCTCTATGGGGAAATTGGATCGTTTATCTCGGAAAAGCCTTTGTTGATCCAATTGCACACATAAACAGACTTTGATGTAAATACATAAAGAATAAATCAAACTGCACGCCGGGACTGATAGCTAAGCCAGAGCTGTTAATATAAAAGCTGATCACGTTTTTTTTTTTTTTCAAAATCAAAGTCGGTGCGAAAATCGAAACTTTTTCGATGGTTTTTTTTTTAATATCTCGGGTTTATAATGCCTGATTTTAAAATGTTATACCTTTTTGAATGCGTACGGATCCCTACCATCAATTGCCATTTAAACAAATTAATCATCGATGGATTGTAAGATGTTGTTGACAAAAAACCGATTCGTTCGTCAATTCAACCTTTTTGATGAATTTTTGGAATATTTCCGCCAAATAATGTCCGATTTTGCAATTTCATACCATTTTTGACTCGTAAGGATCTGTTCTATCGATTGGCATCAAAAAAAAAGGAAATCAAAAATTTTGACCCAAGCCGACAAAATGGAGGCCGGTGCGAAAACCATTAAAAATGTTTATTTGTGCAAAACCCAAATGTGTGTAACACTTATTTTATACTTAATAATCAACGTCTAATAATTGGTGCAGGGTTAGGCAAACTGTTAAATCCGGACTTGGAAATCGCTTTACAGTTCTGCTCGCACTTGGTCTACGGATATATGGGCCTTCGTGGCGACAACTATCAGGCATACAGCTTGAATGAAAATTTGGACATCTATAAACATCAGTTTTCCGAAATAACAGCCTTCAAGCGAAAATATCCACATCTGAAGGTGCTACTCAGCGTGGGCGGCGATCGTGACATCGATGCGGAACACCCAAACAAGTACATTGAGCTACTCGAAGGGGAGAAGGTGCGTCAGACGGGATTTATCCAATCGGCCTATTCGTTGGTTAAGAACTACGGCTTTGATGGCTTGGATTTGGCATATCAGTTCCCCAGAAACAAGCCCAGAAAGGTGCACGGCGAGCTGGGCGCAGTCTGGAAGAGTTTCAAGAAGCTGTTCACTGGCGACTTTATAGTTGACAACAATGCGGCTCTGCACAAGGAACAGTTTACAGCGTTTGTTCGAGATGTGAAGGATTCGCTACGTGCTGATGGATTTTTACTCAGTTTGACTGTGCTCCCGAATGTTAACTCCACCTGTGAGTATTCAAAGATAATTGGCATTTAGGAAAATGCATTAGTTCGCAATTTTTCGCAGGGTATTTTGACATACCAGCGCTGAACGGGCTCGTTGACTTTGTCAACTTGGCCGCATTTGACTTTCTAACGCCGGAACGCAATCCCGAAGAGGCCGATTATACGGCTCCACTGTACGAATTGGCAGCCCAAAACCGTCTGCCGCACTACAATGTTGATTTTCAGGTGCAATATTGGCTTCAGCAAGGATTTCCAGCCAGCAAGCTTAATTTGGGAGTAGCCAGCTATGGAAACGCATGGAAACTGTCTGCTGAATCAGGCCTTGAAGGGACACCCGTTGTCCCTAACACCGAAGGACCTGCTCCGGAAGGTCTGCAATCTCAAAAGGCTGGTCTGTTAAGCTATCCAGAGATCTGCGCCAAGCTGTCCAATCCGCAAAACCAATATCTCAAGGGAAATGACTCGCCATTAAGGCGTGTGAGCGATCCTTCTAAGCGTTACGGAAACTACGCATATCGTGCGGTCGATGGGGCCACAACTGAGGGTATTTGGATTAGCTATGATGATCCCGATGCCGCCTCGAACAAGGCAGCCTATGTACGTGCCAAAAATCTGGGCGGTGTGGCTTTGTTCGACCTGGGCTACGACGATTTCCGTGGACAGTGCACTAGTGACAAATATCCAATCCTGCGTTCCATTAAATATCGACTTTAAATTGAATTGTGTTCATATAAAGCTCATATTAATAAACAGAAGATGAAATTTCTCGGCTTATCAGTTTACTTCCAGTTTGAAAATGGGTATGTATAAATGTGATAGACTAAGCAACCTAATATTTGTGGATTTTAAAGCGCTTAATAAAATATAGCTAGAGATTCGTTCAAGCTTATCGCGTTAAAACTTTTTAGTAAGTCATAAAAAAATACTTTTAAGTTTTGTAAATTACCCAAACAGAGTGATCTCATTGGCCTCGACGTCATTTGTCACTCACTGTTCACTGTACACAAACAAAAACAGTTCCGAGAAATTTGTTGATAATATAGAGCCTATTGTTCGGCCCCTTGGGTCTACGAAGCTCGCTTGATGCGATTTCCGTTTCCATTCGAATTCAGTTGCGGTTTGTCTCTCGTTTCGTGCGGACGTATTTAATTGCGATCTTGTTAGCCCCCGTCCCCTACTCAGCTGCTGCCCTCTCTCTCTCTCTCTCTTTCTCGCTAGCTAGCTGCTCTCCAAGTCTACAAAAATGCGCTCTTTGTGGCCCTTGTGGCTCGGGCTAGCGATGACTTTGCTGCTCTCAGAGCCGCAGTCAATCAACGCCGCGCCCCATCTGATTTGCTACTACGACTCAAGGGGCTTTGAGCGACAAGGTAAATATAAGTTTTTAAGTGCTCTCCACATTGTTTACTCTCTTCTGATATGTGCGTTGCGCTCCCACAGGCCTTGCTCAATTCACACTCACGGATTTGGAGCTGGCACTGCAGTTTTGCACGCACGTGATATATGGCTACGCTGGCATCAATCCAGACACCTTTGAGCTTAAAAGTCTAAACCAAGCGCTGGACTACGAGCGTCGACATTTTGCTCAAATAACGGCGTTTAAGGACAAGTACCCATATATTAAATTTTTGCTAAGCGTGGGCGGCGATCGTGATGTTCAGCAAGAAGAGAAATACATCCAGCTCCTGGAGGCTGGCAGCCAGGCCCAAACACGTTTCATTAGCTCGGCCAGAGATGTCGTACGTCGCTTTAATTTCGATGGCCTGGATCTCGCTTTTCAGCTGCCGCGCAATAAGCCACGCAAGGTTCACTCTGATGTGGGCATGGCCTGGAAAAGCTTCAAAAAATTCTTCACAGGCGATTTCATTGTAGACCCTGACGCCGACACACATAAGACACAGATGACAAACTTTGTCAAGGATCTCAGTAGTGCGCTTAAAGTCAACGATCTGCTGTTGAGTCTTACCATTTTACCCAATGTCAATTCAAGTTGTGAGTTCGCTAAACCTATTCTTGATTTAATTGTATATCATTAAACCAATGCTTGTTAATATCTTATCCTCAGGGTACTTCGATGCGCCTGCCATCGCTGATAAAGTGGATTTTATAAACCTCGGCACGTTCGACTTTCTCACGCCCACTCGCAATCCCGAGGAAGCTGATTTCTCAGCTCCACTTTACGAGGCATTTGGCCAGAACCGACTGGCACACTACAATGTCCACTTTCAAATGGAGCACTGGCTGCTGCAGCGTGTGCCAGCTAACAAGCTGAATATTGCTATTGCCACCTATGGACGGGCCTGGAAGCTAACCCCGGATTCCGGTACCACTGGAGAGCCCGTAGTGGCTGCTGACGGTCCAGCTGTTGCTGGTCCACAAACCAAGACAGAAGGACTTCTAAATTGGGCTGAGATCTGTCAACTACTGCCTAATCCTAGCAATACGAATGGCAAAGGCGCCGCCGCTCCCATACGACGAGTTCCCGATCCCACAAAGCGTTATGGCAGCTATGCTTATCGCCTGCCCGACGAGGACGGCCAGTATGGCTTGTGGGTTAGCTACGATGATCCGGATACAGCTGCCAGCAAGGCACAATATGCGCGTGTCAAGAATCTCGGAGGCGTCGCTTTGTTCGACTTGACTCAGGATGACTTCCGAGGTCAATGCACCGGAGACCGCTTCCCCATGCTGCGCGCCATCAAGTATCGATTGCTCTGATGTCTACCTTTGCATATATACATATCAAGTAGCCCTTTTCCAAATGTCACCAAGTTGCGCCGCCGGCCGCCGAGGCTGGCCCCAGTGTGTGTCCTCTTGCTAATTAATTACAAAGTTGTAAACTAAAATGCGCCGCAAATTATTTCATTGGCCTGGACACAACTACTGCAACTACATGTGGTATAGTAGTGTTCGCTTGACTCGCTCCCTGGCTATGGATCTGGGTTAAATTGTCTGCCTTTGCATTGGATTTCGTTGGCACCCAGCAGTGAAACGTTCCCTTTATCTCTTTCGCCATGGTACCATCTTGCTAAAATGGTTTGTTATTTTTTGCTTATTTCGTCGTTTCTTGTGGTTCTGCTTGCCCTGCCATAGAGATTTACAGATTTCAGCACATACGGCGGCTTTGCCTGCGCCGGCGCGGCTTTCCAATTGTTATTCACTGTACCCATTGGGAATGGGTAAAAAGGGGTACATGCTTTTGCGCACATGTAGCCATGTGTTTAACAAGCAGATGGGGGCATCTTCCCCGTCGAAGAGTGTATAGATTTCCGACAGCGCAGTCGGTCTAACCATGTCCGTCAGTCTTACATGCATGGAAGGAAACTAAATGAAATGGGTCCAGGGTATATTCTAGTCAGCCACAATTGCCTTGGTGTAATTCGCGCAACCGTCTTTAGTCGAATCAAGCTATATATGTATGCACTGTCGGCTGTCTGGCCGATGAGACCAACCAGAGCTACCCCTCGTCCCTGCTCCGATCTTGCATCTTTCATTTACTTACAGAAACGTTGAAAAGGCGCCCGTGCCAAGAATAGGACCGATTGCTGATCAATGACAATAAGACGGCGTCGTTGGCTGACAACAACGACACGATTGAAGACAACTAAATCAGCAAATTCCTGGCACACACATATTTTCGGCAATACACTTGGTTAAAAAGAGTCTGGCAAGGTTAAAACAACCTTTCTGTCATTCAAATTATGAACAATTTTTATACCCTGAACCCATTAAAAATGGGTATAAGGGTATATTGTAATTGTGCAAAATCCAAATTTATGTAACAGGCAGAAGGAAGCATCTTCGACCCCATAAAGTATATATATTCTTGATCAGCATCAATAGCCGAGTCTATCTAGCCATGTCCATCTGTCTGTCCGTCCGTCTGTCCGTCCGTCCGTCCGTCTGTCCGTCCGTCCGTCCGTCTGTCCGTCCGTCTGTCTGTCCGTCCGTATGTATGTAGATGTAGATGCTCCTAGTTCCCGCGCAGATCAGGTTTGTTTCCGATAATCGATAACTTACTCTGTTTCCAAGCAATCAATAAAAATCGATATCGATATTATGTTTTTTGGGCAATTTTGGTAAATAATAAGAGATAGAGTCACCAAACTTGACATATAGCTTCGTTTCGTTTTGCTCTGCGCTCTCGCAAGTTGCTTGTGCATTTAATAATTATGTCGTGCTGTAAGAAACCGTGCACGTTCAAGCAGACTGACGATTCTGCACTGCCGCAATTTGTTAATTGCTGGCTGTGTGAGAATATGATGCATGCTAAATGTGCAGGTCTCACTGGGCGTGATTGCGACAAGATCGCTGCTATTGCCAAGAAGGGCTGCGGTGGCTTGCGTTGGTCGTGCCCAGAATGCATCGACAAGCAAATTGATTTCTCCAGAATGTATAATTCTGTGAGAAGTCAATTCTTAAAATTAAATAATGTGGCTAAGCAGCTCTCGAGTAATTTTGACTCGAGTTTCGATTTGCTAGGCAAATATAAATTTGAGTCTCCAACCAATCGCCGGTTGGAGCCTCAACTTTTGCAATTGCCCTCTACGTCTGTTCAGACTCCTAAGACTTTCTTGTCTTTTCCTAGCAACTTGGAGGTATCTCCAATGTTGTCTTTATCGCCTTCTCCAAGCGACTGTCCAATTACCCCGGCTTCAAGCCCTGTACTAGACCCAGTAGAGCCCGTACCTGATTCCGTCCCAATTAATCAAATAGCCTCAGCCCCGTCAGCTCCTGGCCGCAAAGGTAGACCTGCGCGCAATCTTGCGCAGATTGTTAAAAGCAATCATTGTGCCTCGTTAGCTCCTCCAACTCCTGTATTACCTACAGCCCCATCAGCGCCTACTTTATCGGTAGTTGCCCCTCGTAGGCAAGTTTTTGTGTCTCGACTTTCGTCGGACACCACTTCTGAGTCATTGGCAGCCTATATTGCTAGCAAATCTTCTGCTAGCGTGTCAATAACTAAATTTAATTTCTCCACCCCTCGTGAAATATCATCATTCAAAATAAATGTTTCACATGATATGTTCCCAATCATTTGTGATCCCAAATTTTGGCCACCACACATGATTGTTCATGAGTTCAAGCCTAAAAAGCGTAACCAGCCTGTCACCCTTCCAGTCCCTTCAATACAGGGTACCATTTCTGCCCCAAAAAACTAGCTTCATCTTCTGACCAAATCTTTATTCATTATCAGAATGTTAGAGGTCTCACTTCAAAGCTAAAAAATCTTTTTATTGCCAGCACTTCCTTCGATTCGGACATAATAGCATTTTCAGAAACATGGTTAAACTCAACCATATCTGATTTTGAGATATTACCGAATAACTTTATTTTGTTTAGAAATGATCGGCCGACTCGAGGTGGTGGGGTGTTAATTGCCGTTAAAGCCACTCTCCAGTCTGAACTATTCTGTTTTAGTACGCCTACTGACGCTGAGATTGTCTCAGTTAAGGTGTCTTTTCCTACACGGAATATCTATGTAACATGCTCTTATGTCCCACCTTCTTCTGATATTCAAGTTTATATGAATCATATTACTTGTATTAAAGAAGTTTCTTCACACGTGCGGGATAATGACCTATTATTGGTGTTGGGTGATTTTAATTTGCCGAACATCTCTTGGTCATTATTCACTGCTGAAAATTATCTAGTGCCCTCAGCACAGCATGATTTTTTAGACTGCATGCTTGATCTTTCGTTGTTTCAAATCAATTCAATTTCTAATCATATGAATAGAACACTTGACCTTGTATTTGTTAACGACTA